TGGTGAATAAAGACGTATTATTATTATTATCGTAAATCCTTAAGATACGCTACCAATAAACCCGTTGTTTTTTTTTTTTTCAGTCCGTAGTGACGCAGACAAAGGACATGTCGATATTGATGCGAGCTAAGGATTAACGAGGTCTTACCTTTTAACGTGTGATTCCTAACACGTTAAAAATGGTGATAAATGTAGTAACTTCCATCGTTTCATTTTAAAAAAAATATTATTATTTACATGTCATTGTGACCATTTGTTCATTGGTATGTGACAATTTTCTTTTCTCCTTCATAAAATATTTTCTTCTCTATATATGTATTTTATACTTCATTGTATCAACTATTATTATGTTGTTTTATTGTAGAATTTCAAATAATTGGCTGATGATGAACTTATATACGTTCGAAATATGTACTGATTGATGGTTTCACCGTTCTAACATCTGAGGGTGATAATAAATTGTGGAGACGACTTTGAGTTTTTATTCTTCACTAAAAATAAAACGCTTCTGAAATATGGATGGAGCAAAATGACCCTGAAAACTGTATCGAGCATATATACATACGCATAATAAAATAAATATTTCGAAATTGAATACCGAAACATTCTTCTCTACCAACGTACCTACACAGTATATTTTGGTTAATGTCAGCCGGAAATCAACTACTTCCCTGGCTAATATCTCGCTGGATTATTATACTAAATTATATCCGACACGTATGTAAGATACCTCACAGAGGTTAGTCTCAGAGATTTTTCTCGTTCATTCAGCAGCAGGATCACACTGCTGTTTGGGTCAGATTTCCTCGATTAACTTCAGCGTGGTCCTGCTAGTGGATTAACGAGAAACATTTGTGTGAGGTATCTTGCATAAATGTCTGTTGGATATAATGCAATGTCCAGCGTGGTATTAGCCGGGGAAATAGTTGTTTTTCGGCAGACATTCACCAAAACCTACTACATTGGGAGAGACGAATTATTTATTTTCTCACAATATGGATGGATTTTTTTTCATGAACAAACTGCATAAGAATAAAGTATAGGATTTATTCCATGAAGTTAACGCTTCCTCAAAAACAAATGTACCAAAAAATAAACAAGTTAATAACAATTTCACCTTATTTACAAATTGTCTGGTTTCAATTGAGACTTTAATTTGGAAGACGGTCAAATTTTTGCAGGGCTTGACTTGATGAACATTCTGTACTAGAGATGTAGATGTAGAGATGTAAGAACTTAATATAAACATTATTAATCCACAAGGATAGCTTCACTAATAAAATATCTATTCAAACTTTCAATTGCAAACATCATATCAAATGTCAATAATATAGTAGTATCGCTCGTGTTGAACTAATTACTATTTTTATCAAGATAAACATAAATATATTTAAAAATAAATCAGGGCTCACAATCTGACATAATCCATAAGCGCATCATTGGAGAATATGAAGTTTGAAGCAATCAATTATTTTCAGATTTCAAAGTGGTTTTCGAAACTTATTTGGATTTTTTACCAGTTAATTATGCGAGGAAAAGGGAAAAACTTGTTTGTCAAGGGTGATAAGACATTTCAAACTATAGGGGCTTTTCAAAAATGGAAAATCTGAATTCTGTCTGGAAACATAGTCACTAAAAAAAAAATATGTACTAGAAAAAACTGAACATTTATGTGACAATATTTTAGTGATAAATTTGAATTTCTCGGAATATAACTGAACTCAAATTTTGATTTTTTTCTTTCTATGTAGCCTTTGTTTGAAAACATCCTAAAATAACATATGCTGAAACTTTATAACACATTTAGTTTATTGAACACATCTGAATATTGTAAAGTGAAACACTTATAGTTTTATAAACTGTTTAATAGATTTCCATAGATTTCCATCAAGTATAGGCCAATTCTACCAATAATAAATTTGTATACAAATACATTACACTTCTTCTTAAAAAATTGATGAGGTTTTATATTGCTGCTGCTTATGAGTCATCTCATTTCTCCATTTTTGTATCTTAAGAAAATATTGCAGCTTCACAGGCTTATTACGTTTTTCTTCTCACCATTCCATGACCCTGTTTCCAAGATCTTTATATAAATTAACTAGTGTGCTCGGCCACTTCATGTCGCCTCATAATTAATAAATAATTCTGTCAAGAATGGATCATTAAAAAAGCCCGCGTAATGGAATTGTCGAAATTATTTTTGTAAATAGGTTGGTACAACTTTATACTCACTCAGAGCGCAGTGTTTGAGCGCACTTCGTTTGTTAACATTACTCAATATGTGAACTAACCTCAAAAGTGTTTTGCAAATTTTTCAATAGATAAAAATATGGAACAAAGAATTTGTCTTGTATTTTGCCTTGCAAATGGAATTTCGTGTGCCGAAGCGTGGACAATGTTGTATAAGACTTACGGTGAATCGACTTTGTAAAAACACATGCGTATGAATCGTGCAGTGAATTTACAAGCGGTTGGGATGTGATGGAAAATTTACCTCGTTCTGGTCTCCATATTAGTGTGCGTTTTCCATTTATTATATGTTTTAATGTATTGAAGGATCCTGGATCCTGAAGTGGACGAAAAACTTGAGTTCAATAAACAGATACTAACAGTTTCAAAGTTTACTGAATTTTTACTTTTTTGACGCTTGCCCAAATAAAGCTGTTTCAACCTAAGTAGGTAATTGTTTTCGTTACCGAAATGAGTTGATACCCGAAACTTTTCGGAGTTGAAAAGTAACCTGAGTCAATTGAATTTTCATATTGCTTTTAGAAAATGGTATTGATGAAATGCTATGAAAATCATATGATTTTACTCAGACATGTAAAATATAATACAATACTAGTTATAAAGTTTTTTGTGTTTTTCACAAAACAACATGGAAGTGACTGAGGTACCTTTTAACAACACATTCAAATATTCCAATACCAAATTCGGCATCTGCCATTTGTCACTCTCACCACAAAAAAATCATTGGTTACAATTTGGAAGTTCATTTCACCAGTTTTTCCATATCTAAATCGGTTTTTCAGTGGAACCTCAATAGTGGCAATTTTAGAAACTCCTAACCACATTTGCAGTGACTTTAGCAACATATCTTTAATATTTAATAGTAGGTAGTATAGTCGAAGTAAACGGTATTGTGCATACTTAAAGATGTCGGCGCCCTCAAAGGCCAAAAGAACCAATACATAGAAATGAACCTGCTGGATACTACTCCACATGGGCTTGAAGAATTGGCGGTTCGTATTGGATAATTTTTACTAACCGAGTTTTATTATTGGCTGAAGAATCATAAAATTGAATTTGGAGTCGTGTTACGGTGACGAATAGAATGCGAAGATGGTTATAGCCGTCATATTGTCAATGTTCAGTTCAGGAACTGATCGCGATTTGAGTGTTGAAATTCGATATTGGTGCAGTTATAATTACTTAAAAATTTTATTATCTGTTTAAAATGTGGCGTCCTTGGACAAGTACTAATAGTAATAACGAATGTGATAACAACGCAGACTTTTTCCTCTGTAGTGATTCCGATAGCGACGGTGAACAATGCGAAAAAGATATACCAGTGAATAAGATTCGGATGCATTTGAATATGGAAACACAGAGAGTATGTTTCAATGTATATAAGAATCTACATCTCAAGTTTGGTTTCGAAGGAAACAAACTATTACAAGCAACATCAGATTTGACCGAAATTCCTTTCTCAACTGTACGTAAAATAGTCAAAAACAAACCCTATGAACACAAGACACGATATGATACGGGATTACCAAATCCTTTAGATGTTCATCTAATAAAATCATTAAAAAAAAACAATATACGACTGTTAAAAAAGCAATGAGATTCCTACAACTGAAGTCATAAGGAAGAAATTGAATACTTCCGGCCATAACGTGAGCTGATGTGACAAAACTCTTCAGAATTGGATAAAGAAACTAGGATTTAGATTTCAAATAATAAAAAAACGTCAAGCAGTTATGGAAAGCAGAAAAATAGTGGAATTGCGTAACAAATACTTAGAACAAATAACTAAATATAGACAAGAACAACGGCAAATATTCTATTTCGACGAAACTTGGTATGACACTCACGACACAGTTACTAAAGGTTGTACTGATGGTTCGAGAATGTGTACGCCTAACATGCCTGCAAACAAAGGATCGCGATTATAAGATGAAATACAAAGTTTTTTAATGGATAACAACTTGTATTTTGAAGGTAACTATACCAGAAACCAACAATTTGAAGTTTTACAGACAAAAACATTTGAAAAAGTGTATGCCCTTGAGAGTATTGCTGAAAAGTATGGCCACACCATACTGAGACTTCCCCTCTACGGAGGAAGCTATAGCAGCCTCCGTGGTGATTTTGATAGTTTTCTTGTATCTATTAACTGAAATCACAAATGTGCGGCTGGTTCCTGCTGGTGGCTCCGTGTATTTGTATTTCTTTCTTCTTGTAACCAATCCCATCCTTACACTAAGCTGCACCATACTGATGATGGGCCAAAAGCCCGAAACACGTGTCTATAGTTTGCCACCTTCTCGAGTGCTATATGTATACATGTATGTGTGTGTGTGTGTGTGTGTGTATTCGAATAGGTTTCCGCAGTCAGTAATTTGATATAATATTGTCCGGGTTGAACCGCGTCTGTAATTTTCATCTTTTCGACGTTTCGGCTCCTGCTTTGGAGCCATTTTCAAGAGAAAATCACTTGAAACTGCACTTACATAACTCGAGGACGAGGTCGCAATATCCCATGCTCCCCCAAGTCCCGTCACTAGCTCTATGCTTGCTGTGTTCAGCTTTAAGTGCGGTTCAACCCGGACAACAGAATAGTTATTGTGATTCTTATATAATCAGAAATGATAGAAATCTAGAAATGATAGAAATCTTTTTTTTAAGTAAGTAAATTTTATTCAATTCAGTATTAAGACAAAATACATAGTCGTCTATGACAAAAGGATAAAAATGGATGTATTATGTCTTACCTGAACAAATTCTCGAAGTATTGCATGCAGAAATAGCTTCACAAATGCATCCAAGGCATTGCTGGGTTACTGGCAAGTCTTGGGAGATGATACCTGAATAATAAACGACAATAATTAAGATGTTGTTGAAATGCAGAACCAATAGCGTACATAAGACATAAAAACTTTTATTCGATAACTTGTTTTCTTGTTGTTGACAAATAATTTCAGACACTGCAGATGGACAATGTAGACAAGAATTTTTCAATGCATAGTTATTATGAAGATATTATGAATGACGTAATCTTTTTATTTATTTAAAGGGAGACATATTTCGATATTTATTTTCATAACATTTTAACCAGTTATTTCGTTAAAATATCGTAAACGTAGGAATTCCACAAAAGTCTATACTGGGGCCAAATTGAAAGTTTGAAAAACTTCTGACAAAGTTCATGAGGTTGTTTGGCAAATGGTGGAGAGTTTATAACATACATGTACAAAAAACATTCAGTAATGTATGAAAATTAATATATGATCAAAACGTTGAATTTTGTTTTTGAAAATAATCATTTCAGACAATATACAAGAGTTCATTTCGAATTGCGATCGCAGCAACAGAAATATTAAAAAAATTGAAGTTTAAAATTCATTCGCGGTGGTACCAATACACTTAGTTGAAACAACTTATGAACAGTATCATAGAACACGGTGTCAGAATTTAATCATGAAACACCCAATAGAAAGACAGTTGACAGATTTGTCAAATATTTTAAATTACATCGAACTTTTTTTTTACTTTTTATTGTGTTAATGATTTTCATAGTACGTTGATTGATGTAAATAATCTTTTTATTGAATTTTGAAATGCAGACAATATATTAGAGAAGTGAGAACATTTCACTTCACTTCACCTACTCTCAAGCGTTGACTGTAGGCAAATTGAGGCCCTGGGTGACGAGACCTGGGGAAAATATTTGAGAAAAAAATACCAAATTTTCTTTTCGAATATCTATGAAACGACTGGAAGATATGAAAAACTACATTTTATTGTTTACTTTATGCTTGAATATTACTGGAATTTTATCCCAACATCAAACCGTTATTTCAACACCTCGACACGTGTTTCGATCACCGAGTGATCATCTTCAAGAGAAAGATTAAACTTTTTCTTTTCGAATATCTATGAAATGACTGAAGATATGAAAAACTACATTTTATTGTTTACTTTATGCTTGAATATTACTCAAGTTTTATTCCAACACAAATCCGTTATTTCAAACACCTCGACACGTGTTTCGATCACCAAATGATCATCTTCAAGAGGAAGATCAACCGAAACTGGTTTAGTTTCAACTTCGTGTTTGTAGTCTTCACAGTAGTGGCATCCAATTGAGTCTATCATTCAACATATATGCATTCATTTAATTTTCCTTTAGAACCAGTATCATTATTTCAACCGGTTCGCCAGCTCAGATATAAAAATACCTCATTACAACGTACATTAGAAAGGTTCTTCTGGTTACAGTGTTCGATGTTACATCGAAAAATTGTAAAAATTATTTCAATCACGACGTGTAATTGAAGCAAAAAAATTAAAGTAGTACGCGAAACATTAAAATTCATAAAGGTATTTTGTTGAACACACCTTTGATTTATAATAACCACACCTAGTCTCTTGAAGAGCAAGATTCAAGTTCATAGATTTCGTTATGACAAGTACAATGAGCCAGTACGTTCAACGGAGGTCACGGTGTTAAAGTCAAAATGATACAGGGTGGAAACTAAAATGTGTTACTTTTTTCGAATATCCACATTCTCATTACCCTTTAGAATGTTTTTATGATTTCTGAGTTGCAAAAGATAATTCAACCTTTTGCGATATCTCGTTGTGAAGGCAATAAAAAATGATTTAAAGATATGTACATATTGAAAATTATTTCATGTAGTCAGAGTAACTTCCTTCAAAGGCTATTTGAGAGACCTATACAGGCTGTTTAGTAAACATGCGGCAAACATTTAAGAGACTAGTCCTTAGACTACTCTAAGGATATTTTGTCCTTTGATGATATTTGATAGGGCGTTTTGTTTCGAAGATATGGAGCGAAAAATAATATCGACAATGACAATTTTGGTAATTTTTAAATCATTAACGTAGCCGAAATAAAAATAGAAATTGTAAGAACATGTTAAACTAATTGACAATTTCAGAAGTCTACACTTAGATGATTATAACACTGAAAGTTCGTTCTCTAATCACATAATTACAACCATTGTTTTGATATTGATTCTGATTTAAATGTTTTACACGTTTGCCAAAGAGGCACTTTACTTAATTTACTTGGAATTTTTGAAATCAACTCTGCTATTGATAACCCTAATTTTTTATATCTTAATGAACAAGTACAGTTTGATTGCCAAAAGTTTTTCAATTCTCTTAATTTTAACTAAATTTCCCCTCACTTGATCTTCCATAAACCCTTATTTTATTCCTTTTATTAGTATGGTTATTGTTTGATACCTTTTCTTCATAGGGCAATATATACCTATCTCGTCTGGTGGTGCTGATCAGAACAATTGTTCTTCCAACCTCATTGACTCATAATTCAACTCAATTCTCAAATTATTGTAACAAGATAGCATGTATACATGGTATGGGATCTGTTTGCTCAGAACACGAGTCGATATGTATGTGGTGGTCCCTCTCCTGTTATGTTCTGTATTTGCAAATCTCTTGTCATTGTTCCATGTCGATTGTAACTCTGTGTTTGCAAATCTCTAGTCATTGTTCCATGTAAATTTTATCTCTTTATATATTTTTGACAGTTGATAATTCCAATAAATGTCTAGTTATTTTTTTTAGACTTGGCCAAGGCTTTCGATACGGTTTCTCACGGAAAATTGATAAAAAAACTCTATACTCATAGAGTTCGAGGCCCGGCAATTGAAATTTTCAAAAATTACCTGTCACATAGAAAACAAAATGTCAATGTTGGCAATAGCGTCAGCTCTCCTCGTGAAATCCCTATTGGTGTACCGCAGGGGACAGTTTTGGGACCCCTACTATTCCTAGTGTATATCAACAGCATAGCCGAAATTAGAAACTTCAAAGGCCATCTCATCTCATATGCAGACGATATGGCCATTGTTTATAAAGCAAAGACATTGCGACAAGTATACAACGAAGCCGAAGAGAGTTTATAAAAACTACAAATATGGCTAAATGACAATCTACTTAACCTCAATGTCTCAAAATCAAAATTCATAGCATTTCCTCTACAAAGTAACCAACAACCCGATATGCAAATGATTCACATTCATTAACCTACTTGCTCAAAAACATCATGTAGCTGCCCAAGTATTGAAAAGTTTAAGAACACTAAATATCTTGGACTGGTCTTGGACCAGCACATGAGATGGGATGAACACGTTTGTTATGTATGGACAACCCATGTTATAGATATAGCCA